ACTTTGTAAAGAGCATGATTATCTACAAAATAAAATTAAGAAATAAAAAAATGCTAGAAACGAAATGATAATTAATGCGCAAACTTTGGAAAGAGCATGATTTTTTTACTTAACAAAATAAAAAAAATGGTAGGAAAGAGTATTTCTTTTTATTTTGTAAATAATCATGCTCTTTTCAAAGTTCGTGCATTTTATTTTGTAAAAAATATTCATGCTCTTTACAATTATCTACAAAATAGAATTACAAAATAAAAAAATTCTAGAAACGAAATAATAATTAATGCGCAAAGTTTGGTTATTAATTATTATTTACTTTCTAGTATTTTATTCTGTAATTTTATTTTGTAAATATTCATGCTCTTTACAAAGTTTGCTCATTAATTGCTAAAAAACAACACTTGTCATCGCTTTACGACGTAAATTCAGTTAAGATGTTGGAGTTAGCTCCTCTTCAGTTCCTTAATCCTTCACCAGGGGTCTCTCTCCTCTGGCTATAAATACTAGGTGACCCTTTGCTCAGGCCTTGGGCCTTATACCACCTTGCATATGTGAGCTCTCACAGATACAGATACACATAATATTCACCACACGCACTCGATATAACTGTCCATGTGCTTGTACTTGTTGTTAATGCATATATTTGTTTGTATATAATTATGGGTCTTGTTTGTTTTTTTGGACTTAATTAAAGTCCAACATTCTCATGTAGCTGGGCCAGCTAGCAGGGAATGTTAACCCACGTGTGTTCTCTATATCTAAACCGCCACGGTCCACTACAAAGAGCAGTAAAAAGGCTCTTAATTAAACCTCCGCGCGCTAAATGTTCCGAACTGAATGTAGTTAAACAAGGCCAGTAATGGCCGACAGCTAAACGCGACTGAGTTCGGAATTTTATTGTCGATAACTCCAAAACGGTAGGTTCCTTCATAATTTAATTGTTAATTCGAGTTCAGCATGTACATTTACACAGAATTATGACGATTTGGGAACATTTTGTTACACATAAAATATGTATTTTTAGCCAGATGTACAATATCAAACAACGATGTAAAAGAAAGTATGCATTTAAGTAAGAAAAGGTTGAAATAAACAAGAGTTGTCTCTCTTTATCTGTTATTTTACTATTTCAAAGTTCACTGGAATAATATTCATAAGTGTCTCTTATAATGACTGTTCTTAAAAGATTTGGCGTGTTATAAAAGATTATGTGAGTATACTGATGGAATATTCCATACCTACCTCTCACCCCTCCGGGATCATGCATTTTTCACGCATAATCCCCACTTAACCAATCAGCATCTTAGTTTCAGCAAACTAGGTTTTTCATTGGCTGAGACCTTAAAACTGTAGATAGTTTGAGCTAAGATACCTTTTCCCGCTCAACGCTTTGGAGCCCATTCTGAGACCACAAAACTCAATAAACAGTCAGAACTTCAACCCTTGTCCACTGTCGCCCCTACTTTATGCTTTGGCGTGGGAGCCTCTCATTCGCCGGCTGAGAAACAGGGCGTGCAGTCCGGCGCTACGCGGAATCGCCGTTCATAACGGGGCTCGAGCCAGGGTTTCTGCGTACGCCGATGACGTATCTGCTTTCGTGTCGTACCGCAGCGACATTGAGGCGGTACTGAAAGCGCTTGATCGGTACGAAAAGGTGACAGGAGCCAAGATTAACCGCGACAAGTCGTCCGGCTTGCGGTTAGGTGCCTGGAAGGCAGTCGATCTTCCAGAGCCCTTCGGTTGGACGGACGGTCCTGGTCGCATACTTGGAGTGTGGTTTGGACCAGACCTCCAGCTGGAGAAAGATTGGTCTGAAATACGAGCAAAGTTCGATGCTGCCGATCAAACTTGGCGTCGACGGAGGGTGTCCGTGAAGGGCAGGGCGGAGGTGTGTGCTACATACATTTTCCTTCTTGTCCTTTATCGATTGTCCGTACTTCCTCTCTGTGACGGCCATCGGAATGCGCTCGAGCGCTCGCTATCCCCCATTTTATGGAGAGGACGCGGGAATCGGATCGACAGACGAGTCTGTGCACAACGACCGTGTCATGGGGGCTGGGAATTTAACACTTAGTGAGCCACAAACTCGCCTCGAGGTTGGCTTTCCTACGCCGCGCATTGACCGGAGATTCGATTATGGTTGGGATTGTTAGGGACGCGTTCCCTTTCCTTACTCTCAGTCCAAACATCTCGCGGGTTGAGCGCCATCGTAAACACCGGAATCAATCAGATTTCCTTCGCAAGTGTCGGTCGGCCTTGTTGGCAGTTCTCCGGTCCAGTGACCTTTCTCGGCCTAGGAAGGTCTTCTGTCGTCTTCTAGTGGAGGGGTTCGCGAAGGATTCCCTACGTGAGGAGCTCGACTTGTCGGAGGAGGACTTTCGCTCTTACTGGTCTTAGGCGCCAGCGGCGGATTATCTCAGTAACCCTGAGTTTTCGCTTACCTGACGATTGGCTCGGAATCAGCTGCCTCTCAATGACAAGGTCTTCATATGGAGCTTGACGGAATTGCCAAGCTATGAACGGTGTGGCCTTGGTTTGGAAGAAACGGCTTCGCACGCCTTCTACCATTGTCCCCGGGTCCGCTTCTTATGGTGCCATGTCGGCGAGCAGACGGCTCGTCTCGCTCCCGAAAAGCTCGTGCCCATTGATCGCGCATACGCGTGTGACAATGTGTCGCCCCCGTATTCCGGGGTGAAACGGATGGTGTTTCTGACGCTGCTAGCCACGGCCCGAATGGTGATTTGGACGACGCGACAGGAGGAAGTCTTGCGGGGCATCTGTCTTTCTCCTCAGGATCTGATCCGATTCTTTGAGCACCAGCTCAAGATGAAGATTAGAACTGATAGAAAACGCTTGCATTCGACAGTCTTCAGCGAAAGGTGGGTGACTGAGGCGAGCTTGGTCCGTTTGAACGGGGTTAGCCTTGATTTTCTCTTTTAGGTCAAACCTGTGTCACATCGGGGTGGTTTCCTGTAGAGCCCTCCCCATGGTTAGGTTAGACAAGCTTTTGTGTACCTAGTTAATTTGAGTAAATGTTGTTCCCGGCTACATCTTTTGTTATGATCCAAGTTGAGATTCCCAACCTCCCCAGTTTGTTTTTTGCCTCCTTTTATCTCGACTCGGTCAGCTTTATATTTTCCCATGACCGTATAATTTTTTATGCTTTTCCCACTCCCTTAGCGAGAGAGCTTTTTGATTTTGTCCAAATGGGCAGAATACAGCGGCCTCTCTGTTTTGAGGGTTGGACGGGTCCTACTAACATCAGTTATGTTTAGTTGCTTTTGTGTATCGTTTTAGTTTCTTACTGGGTTCGTCTCCCTCCCTTTTCATTTTATTCATCCATTAATTTTTAAGTGTACATATATAATCATTATAATTTTAATGGTTTGGGGGGGGGCGTTTTGTAGGTCCCCTTTGTGAGGATGCGGTATTATGGTCTATGGAGGATTGATTGGTGATGGATGGGTTTTTTTTGTGAATGGGCAAATTGTAATGAGTGAATGGGTCCGGAATCGAATTAGCTAGGTATAGGATAGTTAGTTAAGACCAGCCTCAACCCCTCCCCTTTTTCGGCCATGTGCCATAATTATATTCTGTACAATAAATATCGTCAGAACTTCAACCCTGGATAGATGCTAAACAAATCCACGCTAGCCAAAACTTTGACCTAACTACACTTTTCGCGCGCTAATTCTTCTGACTTGACAAATAGCACTTCGCTTCTCAGGAACATTACTTACAACATACTAAAAAGAAAGGGAATTGACCCACTACCAAACAGTATTTGAAAATCTCAATCCAACATCAAGACAACAGATAAAGGTACATAACTCTTACAAAATTATTTTTCACGTGCAGATGATCTGATTGGTTGGCATAGACTAATCAGCGAGCGAGCTTCGGGGAGACTTAAGAAAGCTTCTGTGATCCGTTTCTCCCAAAAGTGCACAAAACTGTCTACATGAAAATTGTCGCATTGCTGCGATTTGTAAATTGTCTATAATAACACTCGTGGTGATTAATTAACCAATGAATGCTTGGCGTTGTATGTGATTTGTATTTGTATGTATGTATGCATGTTCGTGCGTGATAGACTCGCATAATACCCCACCGGAGATTAAAGAAATTATAACAAAATTCTTAGAAGGCCAATTCACCCTCCTACCTGTTTGGTAAACAGTGGTTCTGATTGTGAAGTGGACTGCTGACTTTGGTTTGACGATGATGATGCTGGTTGCTGCGGAATGTTGGATTGTTGTCGGTCCGGATGAAGTTGTTTGGCGGCTTGCTAAAGATATGCCGGTTTCAGACGATCGATAGCGATGTTCGACTGACCGTTATATATCTGAATGGTAAAATACTTTGGTTGTCGTGAAAGTACTTTAAAAGGTCCTGAGTAATTAGGGGTTAGCGGGGTTTTTTTTACCGCGTATTGTCTAACGAAGACGTAGTCAGAGTCTTGTAAAGATTTGAGAAGATAAATCTCCTTATGGTGTATTCGTGTAGGAGTGAATGATAGTTCAGCCATTCTGTGTTGAAGGTACTGTATAAAGGTAGAGGTTGGCTCTATATTAGTGTTCCTGTCTAGAAATTGACCTGGTAACGTGAGCGATGTACCAAAGACAAGATCTGCAGGAGTGCACTGAAGATCTTCCTTCATCAGGGTTCGTAATGATAGCATAACTAACGGTAATTTCTCCAGCCTCAGAAGCATGGGGAAGAAGATCCCAAAGAGTGTCAGCGTGAGGACGCAGCCCTGCTTTACGCCACTGCTCACAGGGAAGGTGTTGGATGCTCCGCCGTTGTAGCAGACTGTGCTGTGCATGTCCTCATGGCCATCTGGAGCAGTCTTTGGAGACATCCTACCCTCTTCTCCAGGAGGCTGAAGAGTCCGTTTCTGCTGACCAAGTCGAAGGCTTTCGTCAGGTCAATAAAGGTGATATACAGTGGTTTCTGCTGCTCACAGCACTTCTCCTGCAGCTGGTGCAGCAAAAAGATCATGTCTACTGTAGGTCAGCCCACCCTGGAGCCACACTGTGACTCGGAGGTGAGGCTCTGTAGGCGTGGCAAGAGACACGGGCAAAGATTTTCCCGACGATGCCGAGAAGGGAAATACCACGGTAGTTATTGTAGTCGCTGCGGTCACCTTTATTCTTATAGAGGGTGACAATGTTGGCATCTTGCATGTCCCGGGGGACGTGGACCTTCTCCCAGCACGGGCTCAGGAGCTTGTGGAGATGCTGCAGCAGAGCTGGCTTGCCACTCTTCAGAAGCTCTGATGGGATCCCGTCCTTCCAAGGAGCCCTCTCGCAGGAGAGACAGTCGATGGCTTTTCCGAGTTCCACTGCAGAGGGTGGGGCATCCAACTCCTCCATGACTGGGAGACTGGGCAAGGGATCCAGGACGGCATCCGTCACCATGTTCTGGGTTGCATACATCTCCGGGTAGTGCTCCACCCAGCGCTCCAGCTGCTTGCCCTGGTCTGTAATCTCTAGTGCCTTGGACTTCAGCAGAGCCGTCTTGATGGAAGTGGGGCCGGTGGCGGTTTTGATGCCAGTGTACATGCCTCTTGCATTTCCACTCTCGGCAGCCGTCTGGATCCTGCTGCATAGGTTCAGCCAGTTATCGTTGGCGCAGTGGCGTGCAGTCTGTTGGGCCTTGCTGCGAGCAGCTCTGATGGCATCGTGGGTACTGATGCAAGGGTTTTGCTTGTAGGTCAAGGGTGCTTGTCTCTTAGCTTCAGAAGCTGGCTGCATCTCATCCCAGTGAGCTTCGTACTGGGAGTTTGGACAGTGTCAGAATTTGTTAATGCGGCTTTAAGTTGACGGTGGAACCTCTCGACAAGGCCATTTGCACAACGGTGATATGCAGTTGTCGAGATATGGGTAGCTCCAAGCAAGTTCACGAATTCCTTGAATAATGTCGACTGGAAGTGTGGACCATGGTCTGTCATTATAACCGAGGGGCAACCGAAAATGTAAATCCATTCCCGCAATATTGCCTTAGCAACAGATTCTGCCCTGGTGGACTGAAGAGGTATGGCTACTGGCCAACGAATAAATCTGTCATTTATCGGTAAGATATATTGATAGCAGTGAATTTCGGATAATGGACCCACCAAGTCCACATGAAGATGCTGAAAGCGGCCATCAGGTTCTGCGAATCGTCCAGGCGGTGATTTAACGTGTCAGTTTACCTTAGTTCGCTGGTATCTGACACAACTCTGGGTCCAGTGTTTAATGTTGGAACTCATTCTAGGCCAAACAAAACGTTTACCTATTAACTTCGTTGTAATCCGCCGTCCAGGATATGATAGTGAGTGGAAGTGATCAAATATCTGCCTTCTCATGGAAGAAAGAACCAAAGATCGGGGGTGACCTGTACTGGTGTCACATAATAAATGTCTACTGCTGAAGGGCACGAGACGTGGCTCAATCTGTAAAGATGTATCTTCTTTTAGGTCTGACAGAGTGTCTTCCCTTTGTTCCTTATCGGCTAACATATCGAAATTAAGTGGTTCTTTGCTTGATGCGTTGATTATAGTAGCGAGCGACAGCGTGTCTGCTACAGTATTATGATTCCCTTTTACGTATTGAATATCCATTGTGAATTGAGAAATATAGTCCAGCTGTCAGTAATCACGATGGTTATATTAGTCGCTCTTAGCATGTAAAGCATAAATAAGGGGTTTGTGATCTGTGAAAATGGTGAAATTGCGTCTCTCTAAAAGATAGCGGAAGTGTTTGATGGCTGTATAAATAGCTAACAGCTCATGCGAAAAAGTGCTGCATTTTTTAGGGGAGGACTAAGTTTTACAGAGTAAAATGAAAGTGGCTTAGTTACCTCGCCTGTATGCTGATGTAATACAGCTCCGATTGCTTCTGAAGAAACGTCGGTTGTAAGAAATAGGTGTGTTTTATCGTCTTCTCGAAGATAAGTAAGCTTGGGCGTCATTAGCTTCATTGAATGCAGTGAGAGTTTCACCATTGAGTGTAATTTTGGCATTGCTTCTCCCCTGGTTACGGCGTTGATTTGTCAGGGGTGCCAGTATGTGTGAACATTTAGGTATAAACTGACGGTAGTAATTGATTAGTGCTAAGAATCTGCGAAGCTGTCGAAGCATTGTCCTGTACTGCTTTTACTTTATCGGTGACAGGTGTAATTCCAGTACCGTCTATCTCGTGCCCGAGAAAGACTAGCCTGGGTACTGCGAATACACATTTATCAGGGTTAATTTTAATACCAAAGTGGTTGAGTCGCTCGAAAACTTGAGTTACATGACCTATGTGCTCGTTCATGTCTTTGCTAGCTATGAGAAGGTCGTCCATGTAGGCGAATGAATGTGGTAATCCACGGAAAGCTTCATCGATAAGCCGCTGAAAAGATTGTGCAGCGTTCCGTAGTCCGAATGGAATCCGCAAAAATTCAGGCAAACCGAAGGGTGTAGTTATTGCAGTTTTATGAACGTCTTCCGGAGCTACCGGAATTTGATAAAATGCCTTCTGTAGGTCAAGATTCGTAAATATTTGAGCACCTTGAAGCGTTACTGCAAATTCTGCTAGGTTTGACACAGGGTATTTATCAGGCACAGTCTGTGCGTTAAGACATCAAAAATCTCCACAGGGTCTCCACGCCCCCCGATTGTGTCTTAGGCACCATGTGGAGTGGGGAAAGGATAGGATGTACAATGCTGAGGTCTAACATGTGCTTAAATTCAGCCTTCGCTGCTTTGTATTTATCTGGGCTTAATCTATAAGGGGATGAGAAAACAGGAGGTCCGGATGTCTGAATCTGATGTACAGTGTTGTGTTTGACGAACTCCATATAAGTGAAAGGTGTTGTAAGCGCAAGGAATTTTATCTAAGACGTGTTGTAGCGGATTGTTCTCAGGAAGTGCGGCACAGATTTTAGTGGATGCATATGTGGAAATCATGCCTGTAAGCGTTAGTTGCGTCGTCTGGTCTATTAGGGTGGGAGTAGACATGTCCACGGCAAGGTTGTAGTGGGCTAAGAAGTCGGACCCGAGGATAGGAAATTTCACCTGTGCGACGGTGAACAACCACGGAAACGATCGTCTTAAGCCGATGTTAAGTGTGAGAGAGATCTGACCATATGTCTCAATCTTGGTACCGTTTGCTGCACACAGGGCATATGCTGATTCGCTCGTTGTGGTGTTAACTCTGGGTGGGACTACACTGACCTGGGCTCCAGTGTCCACCAAAAATAACTCGCCTGAGTTAGTATCCTTAACGTAAACGAAACGGTTAACTCGATTTCCCCCAACAGCAGATGCCGTCTTCATGCGCTGCTGGGGTCGCCTTTTCCCGCTTGATTTTTAGTAGTAGATGTTGGTTGACCGTTGAAATGGCAAGGCTTTGCACACTGTCTCGCTCCTTATCCAAACTTCTGGTGGTACCAGCAAATACCAGTGTTTGGTTTACTCCTGGTGTTCGAGTTAGATCTGCTATGTTGTCGAGACTTGTATGCGTTGTATGCTGAACGCGAACGCATTCTACTCAATCGCTCCAGTACATGGACAATTTGTCGATCTGCTGCTCCATCTTCTTTAGCGTATCGTTACGTGGTGTTCTGTCCTCCGAGGAAATATGGGTGCCGTTGAGGGTCCTTGCTTCCACGATTCTATCGGCTATTGCAGCCACTCGTAGTAGGTCCAAGTCGTCAGGAAGCTTTGCCAAAATCTGCGCGGTGTGGGTCGGCAGCTTGTCTAGCCAGTTTCCGTGGCAAGGTCTCTGACATGGTGTTGTTACCCAGAAGGTTTTTCATCTTCCGAAGAAGTTGAGTTGGTTTGTTCTGGTCAAGTTGAATTATGTTGAACAGGTCATTGATTCATCGTTCCTCTGACTTTACGGTCCAGTATATAATAGCTTCTTTCAGAACGTCAAATGGGTTCTCTGTTGGGACGTTATCTAATGTCGGAAACCTCCGATGGGATGTCGGGAGGTAGTTTCTCGACTACATAAGCGAAACGAGCATTCTGTGACTGGATTCTCTTAGCCTGAAATATTGCGCTCAGTTGTGAGTGTAGTGGACGCCTACGTACACCACGCCCACAAATTACTCAACAGTAATTGGACGGAAAATAAACAATACCTTTTGTACAGACAATTTACGCATCGCACGAGCCACATAAAAATTTCTCGTGTTTTTGCTTCACCAAACTAGCTATAGAAAAAAATCAACGATTGGTCGATTTTTAGCCAATCACATTAAATGACACTTTCTTCAATATCCTTCCCGCAATCGTTCCTGGATCCACCTTACATCTATATAAAGTAGAAATTAAAGAAAGAACTTCAGTAGATTATAAATTTTCACAACCTAAACCACGTACGTGTATATTCAATTTTCTACTCACAAACACACACAGATATAAACTACACTCACACAACACAGTGTACTCGTTTAGCAGCTGAATTCTCACTAATTAGCTAAGAAAAAGTCTTGCTTAAATGAGTGACTATAGAGTCCAGATCGCTGCGCAGGAAGAATTATTTTTCACGTGCAGATGATCTGATTGGTTGGCATAGACCAATCAGCGAGCGAGCTTTGGGGAGACTTGGGAAAGCTTCTGTGATCCGTTTCTCCCAAAAGTGCACAAAACTGACTACATTGCTGCGATTTGTAAATTGTCTATAATAACGTAGTGGTAATTAATTAACCAATGAATGCTTGACATTGTATGTGATTTGTATTTGTATGTATGTATGTATGTATGTATGTATGTATGTATGTATGTTCGTGCGTGATAGACTCGCACAGCTCTCCAGTAATCTTTAAAAATTTAATGTTTTATTGAATTTTTGGTACTTTCAATTTAAATTTACTATAGTTACCGCACTTATTTACTGGTAATGTCATGTATGGACGTCCGTATTTACAAAAATCGACACGTTTATATACAAAAAATGCAAGGTTCTTTTTTTTAAATATTGGAGTTGCTGAATTATAGTAAGTTTTCAATTTATGATTAGTAAATATAATTTTTACTTAATAAAAATTAATTACTGAAATTAGTATATAATTTTAAAAGAATTAAAATTTTATAAATTATTGTAAGTAGAATTTTAAAAAAAATGAAACAGTTCTTGTAAAAATTCATTATTCATCGAAAAAAAAATTTAAGTCAATAGTGTCCATAATATTGTAGTGGATCTAGGAAGGCAGCATGAATATTTAAAATTGTGCTTCAAATAAAACATGCAATATCCACAAATAAATTATAAGAAATGACCAAATGATAACGATATTCAATCACGACAAAAAATACATGTTTGAAACAACAGATTAAATTTTATATACACAATTTACAATTTCTTTGTTGTAATGATGTGTGCAAGGGTATGTTTTAGTGGAAAAGTTATTTGCTGTTTCGGAAATGTTCAATGTCTAAAAGTTGTCTGCCTTTGACTAAAAAGGTTGAATTTAACAGACAAAAAAGATTTTTCTATGTAAGATATTGAGGGAAAAAGTTTGTTGTGTAAATTTTTCTAATCTCTCATAAAGAAGTTTGTTTCTTTGGCGGCACATAATTCCTGTGTGTATCTTTCGCGTCAGTGAATCTCAAATGCGACGAAAATTCGTTTACTATTTGTATTTATAGTTTTTTAACAACGAAATCGGCTCCACGGGGCTTGGTAGCTGTTGCGAATTTTTCTGAGAAATGAGTGGGCTAATGTTGTATTTTTTATTTTTTAGCCAATAGGATTTCTTAAAACATTTAAATTAGGGATGAATTTGAGAAATATTTTTTTATGTCGGTTGAGCCTACTTTTGCACAAATTTTTACTGTTTTGTTATGGAAATTTCTCGAAGCTTATTTTTTATTTAACAACCAATGAAATTCAAGAAAATGTTTGAAATCGAAATGACTACATGAGGGTTACTAAAATATATCTTGTTCATAAAAGTAAATATAAGCTTTCTAATTAAATAATGTCTTCGTTTTAATTGCATTTTTTATTTTACAATTCAAAGCAGATTTTCTGTTAACCTTACAAAAATTAATTTCTTGAAATTTCATAAAATTAATTAAGTGGAAGGGTAACAGATTTAAATCAATTTTTTTTTTTCAAATCAGATTTTGTAAAATAATTCATTTGTGAATAAGCCTTGAAAGTTTCATTAAAATTTGAAATTATTTGATTTTTGCAAGAATTTCCAAATCATTGTGTTTTTCACTGCAAAAAAAGACTTCAAAACATTTCTTATACTAAATTTATGACCACCTGCTGGCACAAGAAAAAAACTTTAACCAAAATTTCTGAAGGAAAAAGGATGAAAAATTATAATTATAATTCTTTGGTCTTTCCTCTCAATAACAAAGATTTTGACGATTAAACCTTTTAAAAAGTAAGTGTTGTTTCTACACAAATGGACTCACCCAGTATATACATATACTACTGCTACGTGAATACCCCAGAGACGAGAGCAACAGAGGGTGAAGGTAACAGACAGAGAGACCAAACGAACGTATCGATCAAGAGTCACCGTGAGCGAGCACGTAGACTCAGTAAGAAGTCATACAGCGATACCAAAGACTGTATAGATATTTTGCTACTAACCCGTATTCCTGGAACTACTAACCTGCATTACCAGTTTGTATTATTACGTTAATATATTATTTTCCTATATTCATTCTTGGCGTTTGTAATTTATTGGTACCGGATTTCATCCCGGAATCCACAACAGTAAGTTTTTAGGACATTTTTTCATTATGCATGCTCATTTTTAGCGAATATTTGGGGATAAACATTGTCGGAGTTAACTCCTTCTTAATTTCCCAATTTTGAAATCTCTACTTGGGGACGCTCTCAATTGACTATATATACTTGGCGAGAACTCATCTTGTTCTCTTTTCTTCTCGTTTTTCAGCTGATACGAAACGATGTAAATCTCTAGTGAAGATTTGCGTCTTCTCATTTGTATGTGTGGGGGGTGCATTATGCGTTTCCTTCGGGAAACACGCATGAACATTACACACACGCACGTAGGTACAAACATTCATATTCACCTACGCATAATTTGACCACAGACTTTACGTTCATTCATACACATAATTATTGTCTTTGTCAATTGTAAGCCTTATTTGATGTCAATACACACGCGTGCGCACCCCATATATATATATATATATATATATATATATATATATATATATATATATATATATATTAAATAAAAAGAGACCACTTTAAGGTTCTATGTAATACATTATTTCACCACAGCCCTTTTAAAGGACTGTGGATCATCAGACTTTACTTCCAAAGGTTGAAACGAAAAATGAAAGGAAATTTACACATTTTTGACGGGCCGTATTAAGCATATGTAAATTAACGAAGTGAGGAAGTGAGGGGGGAGAGAGAAGACATGAGTGAGTTAGATGTAATTTAATATTTCTATTATTTCATACTTAAAATTGCTTGAGGAGGTCCAGACATTGACACATTTAAACGGTTAACTTAACGGAAGTTATGTATTGATATAAAAGGGGTAGTGGGGAGAAAAGACAAAAAGAAAAAGAGAGAAGGAAGTCTTGAGAGAAGGTGTCACTAATTTTCTTTGGAAAGAAAGGCTCGAAAAAGACGCTGTTATTGCTTTACTTTGAAAGTGTTATTTTGGGGGTTCATAAAGATTATAATGTTTGATATAAATTTGAATGTCTAAACTGTCTGCAAAGAATTTAATTTGATGTTTGTTAGTGATTTAAATTTTTTTAAACATTTTGGGGATTTTCTATGAAATAGTCGATTAGAAAAAATATTCATATAAAGTAAATTAAAAGAATAAAATTTTATTTTTAAATATAAGTTTATTTCTAGTAATCTTTTTTATCTTTTTTAAAAAAAAATTTTATTATTGATTATTAAGTTGACATCTCTATCCGTTTGAATTTTGTTCATGAATTTAACTCATGACTGTTTTTATATGGGTAATTTCTTTTACTTAAACTTTTGTTAATATTTGAAGGTAATATTAAAGATCTTGCTCTGTCATATACTGTATATACACCCATGCAAACCTCACACATGCATACGTTCCTTTACATGTGCAATCACTCATACAGGTACCCATGTACCGATGTACACAGGTAATTTCATGTATTAACACCTACATAAATATCAAAAAAATTTTCCAATTTAAATATTTTATCATCAATAATGATTATTAAAGGGTAATATGTTTCAATTTAAATTAAATTATTAATTTAAAAAATTACCTTCATATTATAAAGAATTTGAAACTCACACTTCCAATTGGAGAATATTAAAGGAGAAAATGAGA